TTTATTTATTTTTTTTATTTTTTTTTTTTTTTAGATAAATTTGATCAGAATAACAAACTGAAACCAAATTTTAGCCTTCTCCTAATTTTGCGCCACTTTTGTTTTGTTGAGAGAACTGACAAGAAATAATAACAGATTATTCCACATGGATTAGGTTTAAATTGTGTGGCCCGAAGGCAGCTTGTTTAAATTGTATTGCCTCCCCTGAGATTTCTGCATCTGTCTGTTCTCTTTAACAAATGATACACAGTAGGAAGACAAATTGAGATGTGTATAGTGTGTCTGTGTTTCTACCTGGAATAACCTGGTGAAGATGTCAAACTCAAACACTGAGATATAGTCGTTGCAGGTAAGATCTATGGTGGATTTGAGGGCCATGGCCTCCAAGCCGGAGCTGATGTTATGAAACTCATGGAGAGACTGCCGGAACACCTTCCAAGGCACAATGGTTCTGGAAAAGAGGGCAACAACCAGATATTCACAGTCAGTCAAAACCTTATGATTAAAGCTTACATTTATTTAATAAGTCATTATATTAAATCCCTAGCACAGGGTAGGTGAAAATATGAAGTTATACTGCTATAACCTGTATTATGGCAGAATAAGAGAAACTGGACTAATCTGTGTTGAGTTTGGACTTAACTGGCTTCTAAATAACTGAATATGATTGAGATCAGTTTGTTTTGAAATGTGCTTGAGATAATGTCTGTAGGGAACTAGTGCTATATAAATTTACAGAAATAACTCTGCTGACCAGAACCAGCGGATTAACAAACAACAAAGGATCTAGTTAATTCTCAACAGAAAAAAGGGAAGCCCAAGGTATATTGAAATAGAGGAAACATAACAAAGCTTTTGAAATGTACCCTATGAGAGAGGTGCGTGAGCTTTTAACACACGCACTGCATATTTAGAAATCAAAAGCATTAGTCCCAGGCTTTTCTTGCTGGCCCTCCTCCTCCTTTTGGTTAAGAAGGTGTTTTTTTTCTGTGAACACCTTTTTTATGCTGTTCTCATCATTTTTCACTTCTTCATTAATGCATATGGTTATCCAACCTCTCCAATAATGGGAATACTTCATTTTTAAAACTATACTTTTGTTTGGTCAAGCTGAGTAAACATGGCGGCATCACATTTTTATGCCATCCTTATTAGTGCAATATATACAAGTAAAAGTAGTGACAAATTCCCTGCAATATAGTTCTCTACAGACAGATAAACAGGTCATGCTTACTTGTCCCCAAAGGCGCGTCTCCAAAACTCTGCAGCATCAGCTTTGGTTATGCGGAAGTTGTCACCCTGAAACAGTCCATTAGGGAAGATGGCTTTCAGCTCCGCCAGCATGTGACTGAAGATCAATGACAGCTTCGTCAGGTTCCGCCTGCAAAAGTTAAGAAATTTACCCTTTTATCATTTAAAAAACTCATTAGTACTGTAGCGTTATCTTACTGTAAAAAAGCATCCACACAGCATGTCAGTTAAATCCAAATAAATATTGTTTCGGTAAACCAGCCCCGCCGAGGCATGATAAACAGACTAATGTAACTGGAGGCTAAATTATCTACAGAGCAACGAATTATGTCATAAATTAAAAAATCTGAATAAATGGGAGTCAGTGAAATCTTTCTTTTTTTCCAGCGTTTTATTGTCATGATACTGTCACAAGTACAGCGAAAGCAAATTCTCTCTCTGCATTTAACCTATCCCCTTGGGGAGCATTGGGTTGCCATTTGCAGCCACCCAAGGAGTAGTGTGGAGTTAAGGGTCTTTTGCTCAGGGACTTAGAGTGGCATTCTGGGGGAGTGGGTTTTGAACTGACAACCTCAGGATTCCAACCCCTATGCCGTAACCACTAGGCTGACATGTTGACTTTAACAACTCTCTCTTTAGATGTAAAATCAACCTTTAAAGATGTTTTCCTGTACTGTACTCTCTTTATTTCTTCTCTCTGCTCTTATTTTTTCCCACTATCACTTTCTTCCTTGTCCCTTTCGTCTCAATCTTTGTGTCTATTGCATCTGAATCAATCACAAAGGAAATCATAGTATCAGAGCAAAAGGATGAGAGTAAAAGCTGTAATACTCCACTTCTTAAGGTAAATCTGCTGAGCTTCTCCTTGACACCAAGACAACAATTCTGAAAGCTACATGGGCCCATAAGCAACAAAACCCACAATAATGACAACAAAGTTAAAAGTAAATGTAAAATATTTTTTCTGCTCACGCATCGACTCAACTGATAATTTTACTAGAAACTGAGTTCAGATACAAAAAAATACAACAATCTATGGATTTTTAAAAATCCAAAATTAACAGCTAAACAGATATAAAACAAATTGCAATATAATTTATTTCTAATAAAAATTATTTATTTATCTTTTGTTGACTGAAAAAAGAAAATGTCCTCTGATGGCGTTTATCTGGCTGCTGGTAGAAATAAAAGTAGTGAAAATATCAGCTCCTATAGGTTCCACTGGTAGAGTTCTATGTATTGCAAGTACTGTTTGTCCTGCGGCAACCACACCAGATTATTTCTGTACATGTGGTTTTAGAGCAAAGCTGAACTTTTGGCTGTGACAGACCATAAATAGACCACATAAAAAGATGTTTGCACATTGAGTTGTCATCATATATATTAGGATATAACATGCATAAAAGAGATGGGGGGGAATATCTGGGCCTTCCTGAGAAGCAGGTCATGTTGTCCTTTAAGTGAGTTAAAGTGAGCATCTTCAACGACATTGATGGTGGGCTGTCTTTGTGATCAGTAAGGCTGGGTATTGGCTTGGGTGTTGCGATAGGTGTCACGATTCTTGGGTCACAATAAGATATTACCGCAATATTGCAATATCACTATATACTGCGATATTTTTCCCAGCTATTAAAATTTGATTTATAGATAAAAAAGCAAGCGCTGTGAAGATCAGCAGAAGATATTGATCATTTAGATATTTTTGTATCCATGTTGTTTTGGGTTTAAGTCAGTCCACGTCTTCCACTGTGACGGCCTCAACTACAGATATGATGCTGCGCCGCACAGCCAAAGGGTTCCACAAAACTATCTGCTAGAGTGGGGGGACAGAGGTAGCCCATTTTCCCTTATCATTTTAGGTAAAGATGTTTTTTTTTTTTTTTTAAATCGATATTAGGAACTGAAAGATCGATATTATATAGGGCATCTGAAGACCAGCCAAATCCCACACCTCTAGTGATCAAAAAAGGGACTTTCTGACTTCCCAGGAGGATAAGTACCAATAGGGTCCCAATTCAACCAGAACCGTGTATTTGGCGGTAGGACTCTAAAAGCATAAAACCTACCACTACGAACCTGTCTGTGGATATGGTGTTATGCAGTGATGTTTCTGAACAAACATTTGATTCAGACCTGAAAATTATTTCCAACAGACTTTTAGCGGTTTTCTTCATAAAAACAGGGAACTCTTTTCACCCTATCCTATAGTCTCGACTTATAATGAATATCAGGAACTGGTATCACCTGCACCACACAGACAGTACTTGGCAGAAACTGCTGTAGTTTATTTAACTTCTGAGAAGCCAGTTTTTTTTTTTCTCTCATCAGTTTCTACCTACATCTGGTTCTTGTTAGTGTCCTTAATATCTACACATGATTCTAGACTTAACACTGTGTTCTATGGTTTATGCTGTACCATAAGGTTATGATGCATCCCTCCCCTGAACGACACATTTGCATACACAGCTTTTCTTAAAAGTTAGTGACTGGGAAAATGTCTGTATAGGCAGGTGTGCGTTTACTGCTACTTAATAGGAGTTAAAAAAAAGGGCTGTTTACTCAAAACTGAGATGCAACCATATAACCCAAGTTGCTCTTGCTCAGATGAGATCTACGGGTGTCACCTCAAATTAAAGTTGGAAAAAAGTTTGTAAATTATTTAGATGAGTCTCTTTTTTTTTATTAAACTATACTGTTTACACAGCAACCTTCACAGATCTACAGTAAGCATTTATTATAGGGTATATAAATCTACAGCATGAGGTATTTACCGATATTACAAATACTGATACAAGTGAAGAGATGACAGGAACTGCAGAGAGATTATTGCCTGAAATATTCAAGCAGGAAATTGAGACATCAAAATAAAGAAACTTCCTCTAAGAATTGGTATAGCTTCCCTAATAATCAAATGTTCAAAGACAAACTTTTGCAGCTCTCCTGTAGACAAACTGGATGAGTTAGAAATCAAGGCTGTAAGGCTGGTCAAAAGGCGCAGAGAGGAAGAAATGACTTATTAGTTGGAGCGGAAAAAGAACCCGACAAGGAAGCTGAGAAGAGCGCAAACAAGAAGAAAAGTAAAAAGGGACAGTATAGAGAGAGAAAAAATAGGAAATGAGAGCCTATCCTGTGAAATGAAACCCCACCGTTCAGTTCTCTGTGCTGAAGACGGCATAACTAAAAGGGCAGCATGGACCCAGACTGAGCCGGTAAGGCTGCATTGACATGCACAAGACATTCGCTAAAAGCACTGCTATGCTGCAGCTGCCCCACGCCACAGCACACACCCAGCGAGTAAGGGGAGGGGGTGGAAACTGAATGAGGAAGGACAGTAAATGAAAATGGATTACTAAGATTGGCATATGTTGAAACCCAGCCAAAAAAAGTACTGTTCTCACCAGAAGTTTACTTAAAAAATCTTTGACACTTGCACCCTCTCAGTAGTAAATGATTTTCAAAACAGTGAACACTTGTTGTGTTAACCGTCTAACACTATGAGGTTCTTTTTCCACTCAAATCTACAGAACAGACCTTAAGATGAATGCAGCAGCAGCGGCTGCTTTTGAAGTGAGCAATACACTCAACCGTAATGCTCAGAGACAAATTAAACAATAAGCTACTCAGCAATTCTTTGAAGAACTTGCAATGCTTCCGGAAAGAGCTTCTTTACCTTGCAGTTTGATCATAAAAGGAGAGTGTTTCTTCAGCAGTATAACCTCAACAGTAGGTCACCCGCCATTTCTTCAGCTCCCTGGCTGCACCAGCCCGTTTGAGCCTTGAAGGTGTCGCCTCAGCCATTCAGCTTCTGTGTGCTTTTATCTCTGTTATAATAATCTCCCACTATAATCTGCTTTCTTCTGAAACATAACACAAAAATCTCCTTTAGGTTTGTAAGGAATTCATCCCACCTCTGTTACTGATGTGATATTCATTTCGATTAAGTATATTTACCCACTCTCTGCCTTCTCTGAATTTAAAAGAAACGCCTCATATTCAGAATTGAAACTTCTGAAAGAACTTTAAATATGAAATTAATACATACAGTTCAATAAATGATAAGAGTTTTAAAATTAAGAGTAATTTCATTTGAAAGTGCTTTACTGGAGAGATTCATGTCTGTCAAAGAACACTACTGCCACCTACAGGTTTGTGACGTCACGGTGCGGTATGGACTGTTGATCAAGTCCCAATTATGTATCTGGTGTTTGTCACAATGCACTATTATTCAAGTCATCTTGCAAACATTCTTCTTCGAAATGGTGGCTACATATTGGGTGTTTTTTCTCTGGCCTGAAGTCCGATGGCAAATCCTCCCTCTTCAAGTTGGCAATCCAACGACAAACACGTGGTGGATCATGAATCGGGAAGGTGAAATAGCTAATGGTTTTTTCACTTTTACCCGATGTATTACAACATCCAACTGCCATACACATGGGCATTGTCAGTTTAACTATAGCTCTCGCGAATTTCAACGGTGAAATCCTCTCGATATCTAAAAAAATTTGTGATTGCAGATGTGTCCAGTAGTTCCTATTGATTTTGCTTGTAAAGCAGGGAGAATGGCGCTAGGCTAACCGCACCATTACGACACTGCCAGAAGATGTCAGGAGTTACTATATTTGGGCAAAAATGGCCGCTCCCGGACTCAGTGATTGCGACGAAAATTATTGTTTTTTTTTTCTGATTAACACTAAATTTATAAAATCACTGCAAAGATATAAATTTTAGGTATAGATAATGATCCATTGATCATTCCTTGCTAACCGGACTTTTTCTTCAAAAGATCCATGGAGGCTACAGATTATTACCATCCCCCCCATGTGATTTCATTTCTTATTCATCAGATTCTCAGAAGGTTGATACACACAGTCTGGATTGAGGTATAGGAATCTAAGAAAGCTGAATAGAGTTTTCTACCGCTGTGCACAATCTATTGCATTTCTTTAACAGAAAAATGCAAAGTGTTGCTTAATAGTGAGGATTTTCAAACTTACAATCAAAATCTGCATCATATGTTAACCCTTAGGTCACTGGGCAAAGACTTTGTAGAACCACTGGTCATTGCAATTACACATCTAGTCTTTTCAGGTGTCATCACAAGGTTTGCACATCTATAGACAGAATTTGTCA